CAGTATTGGTGCTCATAGAAAACTTGTGACCTTGGAATTTGTTGATAATGCACCTGCTAGCAGTCTGCAGCCAGTAATGTAACTACTAACACCCCCCTTCTTTGTCTTATCCCAAGCCCATTTCCTTCCCTCACAGACTCCCCCCCCACTACTTTTGATCTCTCCGACCAATTCTGCTGTCCCCCAGTCCAGCTGTTTGTTTCCCTTTAAACAGTGGGAGTTTTGAAGAAAACTATAGACTGCTCCTATAGAGTCCTCCCTCCCAGAGGCTGGGGTCTGACCCGTGGGGAAGCATGACTCTTAGTCAGCCTGGAAAGATAACGGGTACATGAGATTTTTTTTTGCAGACAGAGAGCCTGGAGACCATCTGAAATTCATTTACAGTCACAAAGACAAAGACAACAGACCACAGGAGACGCACAATCAGGAGTTAACGGGGTCTATAGACAGTTAATAATAACTTCAGCCTTAGGGTCAGGGCCAGTAAATCTCTCTGTCCTGCAGAGCTGTAAGCCCCCCGTGTCCACCAAAGAGATAAGAAACCATAAATATAAGTTCTTTGAAATCTATTACTTGTTAATTTGCTAAGCAAATAGTTAACTTGAAAAGACTTCTCTCTTGCTTTTTACAAGCAATCTTGGAACCTAGCCAGCCTTTATTTTAACCTTTAAATCTACCCTAGCACTTCAAAATTTCAATTTAATATAGCAAATTTACAACCCAGGTAAGAGCAACTAGACAGACAGAAATTTCTGTTAGCGAAGTGGGCTGATTCCTTCTGTGATAGCGAGCAAAAGACTGAGAACTGCTAGAGATTCTTGCAGCCCACCGCGGGTCCAGTCCAAACGTTCAGCCAGATGAATTAACAGAAATGCAAAATAAATCAAAGTAACTTTCATTTTACACAGACGAGTTAATAAGCAGCCAAACACTCGTATTCACACTCTCTCAGTAGACTAGCCCAGACTGGAGCTGAGCAGTTAAACAAAATACTGCCCAACTCCCCAGATGGGCGTGGGGGCACTCCTGGCACCCATGTCCCAGAACAGAATTCTCAACCAAAGTCTTGGTGAGAACCTACCGGAGGAGTTAAGACTGCATCCAGTCCCCCTTCTCGGTAGCAAACTGGCTAGTCCCACACAAACAGCTGTTCACTCAGAGCTTAAACAAACTCCCAAATGCTAAACAAATTCCCAAGTTTAAATAAATTCCAAATTCCAAACAAATTCCAAATTCTAACAAATTCCAAATTCAAACAAATTCCAAATTCAAAACAGACTCCCAATTCCGGAGAGATTCCCAATTCCTGACAGATTCCAGATTCCTGAGGGATTCCCAAAACCTGGGGGAGCTCTATGGCTCCCCGGGAGGTGATCAAGCTCCCCTTCCACTCATTCCGAGTGGGCCAGATGGTAGGGAATTGGGACCCCTACCTTACAGATTCTGCAGACAGGTCCAGAAGTGTCCATCCATGCTCTCCAGATGCCGGCCGGGTCCTGGGCTGAGGCCAGAGAGTGCCGGGAGTTCCCCCGGTTCAATTCTGCTAAATCAGCAGAGCGGCGCCTCCCGGGGGCTTATCCGGCTCCCCCGGTCCTCAAACCCAGTCCACACCGGAGGCCAAGAGGCCACGATGGGTGGTTCCCCAGTCTTCCTGGTCAGGGAACCAAT